GGCTTAGCTTCACTGCCCTATGAGCCTGGGATGGAGGCGGGGAGCTTCCTTCCTGGTGCTGGGACCGCCTGAGCTTCACTGCCCTAGGAGCCTGGGATGGCAACAGGGGAGCTTCCTTCTGGATGCTGGGACCGGCTCAGCTTCTCTGCCCTAGGAGCCTGGGATGGAGGCGGGGGAGCTTCCTTCCGGGTGCTGGGACCAGCTGAGCTGCACTGCCCTAGGAGCCTGGGATGGAGGCAGGAGCTTCCTTCCGAGTGCTGGGACCGGCTCACCTTCTTGGCCCTGCACTCCTTATTAATGAATCATGTTCTTTAGTTCTCCCCCCTAAAAATTTTCTTTAATCATTTCTTTGACAATCTTTTCTCTCCATTTCCTCTGTTATCTTTTACAAACAAATGTAGTACTTTCTTGCTGGTCCTATAATTTTATCTTTCCCCTTTTCTCTTTTTATTCTTTAGAGAGTTTCTCAAATTCATCATCCAGCCCTCCTCTTGATTTTATTTCTTGCTGCCAAATTTTAATTTTCTAGAATTCTTTTTTGTTTTCCAATATTCATTTTTTAGGTCTATTCTTATTTCATGACTAAAGTGTCTTTCACTAGCTCTCTGAATGTTAGCACTTTGAAGTTTAGTTCTTTGCCTCTAATAATTCTTTTCAAGTCCCGTTTCATTTTTAAAATCTTTCCTCAGATGATGACTCTTATTATATTAACACTCACCCAAAGCTGTGTGCAAGGGCAGAGCTTCTGATTCACTGGTAGATTTTACCACAAATTAAACCAGGAATCCACATGAGAGAAAGTATACCTGACGTTAGCCTCTGGGCTAGCTGTTGTCCCTTAAAGTGGGATCTGTCTCCTGCCTAGGAGCTAGGAGTCTGGCTGTCAACATCCATAGAAGCCGGTGTGGGGAAGGAAAGTCTTACACAGTTGTCCAGGGAGGCTTCCTGTTGAAGCCTCTCCCTTACCTCTTATGCCCTCCAGACATCACTTGAGCCCCTGACCCCTGAGCCTTCAGGGCTCTGGCACCCATTAGCCTGCTTCTAGGCTTCTCCACTGCTGTTGACTACTTCTAGTTACTAACAAATTAACCAACTATTTTACACCTTCCAAATTTAACTTTGCTTTCTTTTGATTCTTTTTTTTTTCACAGGGTCTCTATGTAAACCAAGCTAGCCCTGAACTCACTGTGTAGCCCAGGCTTGCCTTGAACTTGTGGCAGTCCTCCTGCCTCAGCCTCCTGAGTGCTGGGATTACAGGCGTGCATCGCCATGCATGGCCAATCTTTTTTTACTGTCATCACCTCCCCTCTTTGTTCTTGTGTATTTCTTCTGTCTTGTTACTTTAATTTCAGTAAAATTTCAGAAAGGAATGGGGGGTTATATATGAATTTGTTGTGATTAATGGAGTCTCAAATGCTCTTTGTTCCTCAGGATTGTTTCTGTGAGACAATAGCTCTCCCAGGAACTGAGTAACAGAAGGCAGCTCTGCCCACCCCATGTTTACAAAAGCAATTGAAGAGTAACCCTTATACTGCTTCTAATAGTATGGACTTTGTCCATAAGTATCCAATATTTTAGTTAAATGTTTTGCTTTGATAACAGATTGGGCATTTATAATATGGTGATATGAGCTGGAAGTTTTTATAATAAACATCTTCATGTTCTAAATTGTTTAGAAAGAGAAAAGTATAAGCAAAACTCTTTCAATCTACAGTGGTTTGTGTTTCGTTTTTAATATAAAGTGATTCCAACTAATCAGTGCCTATTTTTCCTATTCCTCATACATCATTCTTGCATTTTTACCTTTGATAAGTCACTGACTATATACTGATACCCATTAAAAATATTTAATCCTGGGTTCAGTTTATTGACTATCATTACAACTCGGTCCACTAGCTTGTTTTGTTTTTGTTTTTGTTTTTGTTTTGTTTTTTGAAACAGGGTCTCGCTTTGTAGTTCAGGCTGGCCCAGAACTCACTGTATAGCCCAGGCGAGCCTCGAACTCCTGATGATCCTCCTGCCTCTGCCTCCTGAGTACTGGGATTACAGGCATGCATCTCCACACCCGGCCCCACTAGCTTTTTTTAAGCAGTAAGGATTGAACCCAGAAAGTTCTGAGCTACTGTCCCATTCCCCTCTGCATTTTGTGATATGAGGGATTGATCCAGGGCCTTCACACTGAGCTACATCCCCAGGCCTTTATTTTTTGAGATAAGGTCTCACTAAGTTGCTCAGGCTGGACTCAAACTTCTGATCCTTTTAAACTCCCAGAGTACTGGCATTACAACCAGGCACCACCACACTTGGCTTAATATTTTGTTTTTATATTGGAAAGTTAAGGGTTAAGCACCAGGTTCAGTACTGAAACTCTCTTTCATTAGGTATCACAATTCTAGATAGAAGTTTCATATAATCCCTTCAGTAACAAAGAACCCACTTCTGTAGATGATTTTATCAATTTCACTGAGTATTTTATTAGGATAAGAAAACACTTTTTAAAAAGTTTTTATATTAAATTATCCAGATACTTGGAATTTAAAGCAGCTGCATAATGGATGGTGATAGTATTGTGGCCAAAACAAAATTTACAGATCATGTTGTCTGGCATCCGAGAAATCAAGTACAAATGGGTTTTAAGTATTTTCTTGTCTGTGCTCATGTTTTAAAAACAAGCCCTGAAAGTTTGAACTGTGCTCCATGCAACCTAAAAAGGAAAGGAGGGGGTCTTTATGACTCAAGAATGGAAAGCTAAACAGTTAAGGACTTTTGAGGCAATCAAAGAACATGAAGAGTGTGTAAGGGGTGGTGGCTTATCTCTTCCAGTGAAAGGTAGCAACTGGTTCAGAGAAATTTTCTACATAGAATACGGAAAAATATCTGGATCGAAACCTCTAGGGAAAACAAATTTGACCAAAAGCAAAGGGCTGACTGAAGAGGAGGTTTAAGAAACACCCTGTCTTGTGTGGAAGGGATGAATAGGGGATCCAAACTAGAACTAATTGCAGCAATATGTAAGTATCAGTAAGAGTGGATATGTATAGAGATAGTATACCTAATTCTTACATATGTATTTACTCACACCCAAAGTAGTATTTCACACTAAAGTAGCTTTTCACCTCAACAGCTGCCAGTACTACTTTGTCCAAGACAAGGAAGGGAACAGGAAAAGACAAGACTCCAGGGATACTTTCTTAGAAAAGAAACCTTGATCCTTCAATGATAGGAGTAAATAATCAAGGACGTTCTCTTCTAAAGTTCTGCAGAGTTCTGCTTTGTTGGCTACGAGTTGATTGAAAAAGCTATCAGTTCTATACCTTGACCTCATTAAAGTTGGGATTAAAAAAAACATTCATCTTGCAAATTTCCAGGATTAAATTTTCTCTTGGACCACACAAGGCTGTTTTTACCTCTGAGTCATGGTAGAGGTTACAGCATTTCTCTTTAAATTTTACGTAGTGACATTTTAAATATCTTTTTGTCTTGAAGTTTCTGAATCGCTCAGTGTTCAATTATTTGACCTTTTGTGAATCTGATCTTCAGTTTTACAGTAAAAGTTTTACATCTATTTTGTAAGCTTTTTAAAAATCTCCCAAGGTAGATATTTAAGTATGCTCTATTTGTCTTTTTTAAAATAACTATCAATGTATTTTCTATTTCAGGGCATTTGATGTAGAACTGCTGTACATAGCACAGTACTTTAAAATTCCAATAGCAGAAATTGCTGTCAACTGGACTGAAATTGAAGGCAAGTATATCATTCTTCTCTCCATTCTTTGCAGCAGGACCTTCTCAGCAGCCTGGACACAGGGACCATTTCCCTGCAGAGTGTTGTCCACTCAGCCTCTTTATCTGGCTTGCCTCCTCTATTTCTTCAGTTTTTCTTCGGATCTTCAATAAGTCTCCTGCCAAGGTCATGGTAATCTGAGGTTAGAAATAAGATTGAAAGCCTTTTAAGGAAAACCTTATTGTTTGCATCACCGTGTTTTAGTATTATGTTATCTACCACTCAGTGGTTATTAATCAAATACCTACACCCCACCATGCAAAGTTAAATACAAGATTATAAGTGTTTTCACTCCAACCATGCATAGTTCATTCACATCCCCCCCCACACCTCCCCCCACACACTGAGCTACATCACTAGCCCTCTTTTATTTTTTATTTTGGTTTTTTTGGTTTTGTTTTTTTTTGTCTGTTTTGGTACTGGGATCGAACTCGGGTCCTTACGCTTGCAAGGCAGGCGGCAGAACCACTGAGCTAAATCCCCAGCTCTTTATTTTTTATTGAAACAAGATCCCACAAAGTCACTAAGTTGTCCGATCTAGGCTTAAATTTGTGCTACTTCTGTCTTAGCCCTGCACCACCATATTTGGTGAGAACCATTTTTTTAAACTGTTATCTGTTATCTGTACATATATGCAAAAAATTGAAAGAATATTTGTAATTTGAAATCAAACATAAATCTTTATAATTCCTTTCAGCAGAGTATAAGCAGCTCTAGCTGTATAGAATTTAAAATATATTCTAGTCTTCTCTTTTGCTTACCTTAGAATGAACCTAAATTATTTCATAGTGTGGGAACAGCAGTGACTCAAAGTCCTTCTCTTCCATGAGTGCATGGGGCTTTTATTTTGAGAAGTGTTACAGTAAGCCATTCTGCTCTGTAACCTCAGATGTTCAGGGCAGAAAGAGATTAAGAAGTATGCTTGAGGGCCGGGGATTTAGCTCAGTGGTTTCGCCGCCTGCTGTGCAAGCGCAAGAACCAGAGTTTGATCCCCGGTACCAAAGAAAAAAAGAAGTAGGCTTGAGACTATACAAACTATGTAGTCCAGGATTCACACCTCTTGGTGTCTGGCTGAATCAAATTGAGTTTGTAAAAACTTAACTAATCTCCACCACTACCAGCCTGAAATCAGAGAATTGAGAAGCAGGTGAAATGATTGCTCAGCATCAGTCTGTTCATTTGTCTGTATTGATCTATGCCAGTGGTGGTGAACCTATGGCATGCGTGCCACAGCTGGCTGTTTGTTAACCGTTGAAAGCTCTTAAGGTTCACCATCACTGAGCTATGCCAAATATAGACTGTATGGAAGGTGAAGTGGGAAAAAGTAAAAAACAGGTCTTGTTGATGTCATTTGCTTATTTGTATTACACAGATAGCTGCATCATAATATGAATTAGAAGTATCTTAACTTCTCATTTCTGGAATGAAGATAATATTTGTCCCCTGATTAATAATACGACTGATATCTACAAAGTGCTTTGGTGGTAGTGTTTTCAGAAGAAAGCTATGATATATATATTCAGAGTAGTCAAAAACCTTTTCTTTGAGGAGAAAGTATAAAAATGATAATGAAATTTTAAACCATCCTCCTGATAGATGTTCATTTATCTGCAGGAATAGTACAAGTAATGCTTGTAAGAATCCACTATGGTATGTGAATCAGACATTTGATTACACTGATATTCCTGAGTAGCCTGAGACAGAGGTCTGGGCAAACTGTTTCGACCTGATCATAGGCTTTATTTTTCACTATTATGATTGCAACCTATGTAGAAATAAGTGTTTGCCTTTCATTAACTAGTTGTATGCAGTATTTCTAGAACCTAACCATACACAGTCCCTTGTTCTCCATATAGAGCCCTCTGAAATTTTCACACTTCAAATGCTTCCAGGTTTTATTCTTCAAGATGTTTTTATTTTTTGGGAAATGATTCACTTCATCTTTGTTTACAATAATTTTTTTTTCAATTTGTTTTTCATGGAAGCCCAGATATATAAGCATCTAGTAATGTATTTTGCTTCTTCCTTTTCTGTTGGTGTATTGTTGCTTCTTTCTTTAACTAATCATATTAGCAATTAGACCAGGACAAATATTAAATAGGAATACTAATTCAACATACTTTTAAAATCTAAATTTCCACTTGAACAACCAATTTCTCCCATATTACAATAAATGATTAAATTAAATCCATTCATGTATCTTCAACATATGTTGAACTAGTTTGTATTTATTTAGTTGAATCATTCTTTAGAAGCTAAAAAATGTTGGTAATCATCTTCATAAACTTAGATCTTTGAGACATTATTATAATCTTTCAATTAAAATCTTTAATGTGATATTATAATGTTCAATAAATTCTGCATTTATCCATGATCTTGAATGGGGATCACCCAGGAATTCTATGTTATACTGTTCAACATTTCCATCTGAATCATAGGTTACATATTTCCCTTTAAAAGAATCAGGACAAAGGATTCCTTGGCCAACTCAGCCAATTCCGTAATTTTCCCAAAACCAAGCTTCCAAGAGGGAATTGTGAATAGACAGTCTTAAATCCACTTTCATAAAGTTGAGACACTTCAGGAAAGTCTTCAGAAATAGAGCATTTATTATATCTTGAATCATTGCTCATAAAGCAGTACCGAGGCTCAGTGTCATCAACTCTGGCTGCATTCTCACTTGACAGCAATCTCCATTTCAAACAATTTTCATTCACACATTGAACCCATATTTTGTTTATATACATGTTGTTTTCCACTGTGGAATCCATTGTGCTGTAGAGATCTTCAGTTGTCTTAGCAAATTTTCTTTTCTACATATGCTTTTAACCACTGTATAATAAGGATAGTTGTTATGGCTTATATCTCCATCTTTGAAATGTTTAATTTTTTTGTTTTGTGTGAGATGTAAATAAATTAAGGTGCTAGCAGCTCACAAAGATCATTTAGGCTGACTTTTAGAATATAGTTTTAAACTAATATATTTTCTCCTGAATTCAAGTTTGTTTATTTTAATTTTTTACTTGCAGGTTCAAAATTAGTTCCATTTTGGAGTTGGCTACAAATGGGCAAGGACCTACTTTTTATACGACTTCGATATTTAACTGGTGCCTGGAGACTTGTGCAAACTAGGAAAATGAATTAGGTTGTTTTCAGTCTTTGATTGTATTCTTTTGCATCAGTGTCATGTTATTTCATTTGAAATTAAAATTTTAAATAAAGCTGGAATAGACCTATTGTGATTGTCTGCCTTTTGATAATTTTAAGAATCAACTAACAGTAAAAGTTTTATATCTTTTGGGACAAAAACATTTTTTAAAAGTTGTTTGTATCCAAATTGCTTTTGCAATTTTATTTAGGTTGCTTGACACCGTGGTTTTGAGAAGTACAATTTTTAGACAGAAGTAATTATCCTTAAAATGCCTGCATCATTTTCATGAACTTAAATATAAATCGGTCATGTAACAGTTTTCAGAAATTTTAAAATGAAGCTGTTATATAAGTTTAAAAGCATACAAATTTATCCATATTGCCAAAACCATATTTCAATCTATGAAAACTCTAGGAAATTATGTTAAAGGCAAGCATACAGGTGTAGTCACAGAAAAATCCATTTTTTTATCCAGACTTACTTACCTCCTAATTTTACTTACATGCTATGCTATACAGAATATACTTACACTATATAAAATATAAACTATACTACATCTTACTCTTGCAACCCTTCCCTCTTGAGTTCATGTTTTTGGAAATTCTTAAAAATAAAAATTTTAATATTAATAAATATATTAATCTATTTGCCTAATATGCTTACTAGAGACTCTTCTTTGAAATACTATAAAAACTGATACAATAATAAACCTCAAAATATCAGAATTGGATTGTTTCCGACATAATAAACAGGTATTACTATTACAACACGTATTAGTATTATTAAATACTATTAATTATTATTAAATTACTATTACTATTATTAATTGCTATTAA